AGCTTTAACAGATTAACAGAGTTGGAAGGGACTTTGTACCAGTATAACAGAATAAGAGTGGGAAGGGACCTTGTAGGTCATCTAGTCCAACCCCCGCCCAAGCAGGAGACCCTACACCATTTCTGACAGATGGCAGTCCAGTCTCTACTTGAAAGCTTCCAGGGATGAAGCTCCCACAACTTCTGAAGGCCAGCTTTAACAGATTAACAGAGTTGGAAGGGACTTTGTACCAGTATAACAGAATAAGAGTTGGAAGGGACCTTGTAGGTCATCTAGTCCAACCCCCACCTAAGCAGGAGACCATTTCTGACAGATGGCAGTCCGGTCTCTACTTGAAAGCTTTCAGGGATGAAGCTCCCACAACCTCTGAAGGCAAGTTATTACATTGAATATAGAATAACAGAGTTGGAAGGGACCTTAGAGGTCATCTAGTCCAACTCCCCCACCCACCCAAGCAAGGAGACCCATCACCAGGGATGAAGCTCCCACAACTTCTGAAGGCCAGCTCTTCTCCTTCCCTTCACCCATCTTGTCTCGAGGGCCCAAATTGACCAAGGCAATTTGACTTCTGCCGAGGGCCAACCCATTGAAGTGGTGCCCTCCCTCACTGGGAGAAGGGTGCCAGCTCCAGCTCTCACATGCCACCCATGCCACCGTTCCTCCTGCCCCCAGACGAATCAACTTCTATTTATAGGCAGGCTTTGGGATGTGAATACTCTACAAAAACATAATGCGGTGTCAGTATCCGGTCACATTTCCAGTCGGGGTAGCCGAAGGGCAGGCTGAGACAGGCAGGCGCCAGGGACAGAGTGGGTCCCAAATCCCCTGCGTTGCCTGGGGCCTTCCTAGCAGCTGACCTAGTACAAACTCTGGCCAGGGTCCAGTAGAGCAACAAGGGAGCTAACCCGAAGGGGCTTCCTGATGGATGAAGACCCCTATAGGGGGACAACGGGGCCCATGTGTCACTCCGACAAAGCGTCTGCCCTCCGTCTCTCTCTCTCCATTTACAGAGCCTTCGAACTTAATGAGACATGATGCAAGCTGCATTCACACAACCCGCGAAGCCACTCAGCAGCTGTATTTGTACCCGGGACTCAGTTTGGGGAAGGATTGTTGGCCAGCACTTCGGGGCTTAACCGACTCTCAATCTTGGCAAAGTTCCAGATGCGTGGACTTCAACTCCCAGAATTCCCCACCGGGAAGTCCACGCATCTGGAACTTTGCCAAGATTGGGAAGCAGCAGTTTAACCTGTTGGAGAAATCAGCCGTCTTGGTTGGTTTATAATCCACTGTATGGTTGC